TTTTGTTAAGGAATCTTCATACAGTCTTCCATGGCGGCTGGGACAGATGACAGTGGAAGTGTGTTCCTAGTTTTCCCACATCTCCACCAACATTTGTTTTTACCAGATTTTTTAAAATATAGTCCATTTTCACAGGGGTGAGGAGATCTCTCTCTGTGGTTTTGATTTGCATTTCTCTTATAGTAAGTGATAAGAACCTTACTTTGAAAACAGACCAAAAGTCCCCACAAGGAAAAGCACAAGAACTCAGGGTATTAAAAATGTTTATTTTACCCAGTGAACTAAGCAACATCACTTCAGACTCCTTGATAAAACTCAATGCCAATGACAAATATAGAAAAGAGATCACTGTTTTTCCTATATGTTTCAAAAGTGAGTTTTGTAATTAGGAGGGGCTAAAGGGTGTTAACTTAAAAGGCTTTGGTTTGCATTCTTCAGTCCGATCTCCCTTAGAATAATCAGGATGGGGCCCTCCCTTTTGGCACGGTGGGTTAAAGCACAACCCTCTGCACTATGAAGCTAAAACCACTTCAGCATGAGCTCAGTTCCTGGCCAGGGAGCTGACCCACATGGCACAGCAGACCTCTCCTGACCGGTCCGCTACTCCCCTCAGCAGTGGACTTTGGCAATTGCTACCTACTACCTGCTACCTACTTTTGTCTCTGGGAATCCTTTCTCCACCCCTGCACCTTTGGCCTGTACCCCAGTTCTGTATGTATAAATAAATCAATCTTAAAAAAAAAAAAGAATAATGAGGAACACTTAGAATTGGTTTGCTAGCCTGAGCTATGATAATAAAGGCAGACAAATCATTTTGTCCACCATAATTTTCAAATGGGTATTTAAACAAAGCAGGACAACTTTATATATTATCAAAAATAATAAGAAGGTTAGTTAGTATTTAGGTCAAGTTGCCAAACACACAGGCAAGCCAGTCTGTGGACGCAGACACGTCAGGTGAGTGAGGCGGGGTAGGAGCCGGCACCTGCGCCCCACAGCGAGCTCAGCGAGGCAGGAGAAGCAGCAGGCGGCTGGAGCCTGAGCTGGTGGCCTTCAGCGACTGTGTTCCAGCTACGGACTTGGATGGCGTGGGTTTTCTGCCTTCTCAAAGGTGCCACCAAAAAGCCCCAGAGTTCAGGTAGTACAGAAAACACCAACTACTACAGAAATGGTGCCCTGAGGTTTTCGCCTCCCCCTCTCCGTGCATATGTGGACTCAAACAAAAGTGCAATCTCAGAAGCCACCAACACCATCCTAAGTGGTCTCAAGACCCGGTGTTGTCTTCCAGCAGATGCCAAAACCCCCCTGCGTTTTGCTTCTCTGTTTTCTTGTAGTAACTCTGCGATTCCTTTCACTTTCCCTCTTTTTCTATCTAGCTCCCCACCCATTCTATTTCAAAAATATCAGAGGCAGCATCCTCTGGGCTCCTTGTCTCAAGTTGCTCTTCTGCCCTCATTTTCTGCCCCCTCTCTTCCATTTATATGTATTATTTAAACACTCAGCCTATACTGGAGTCTTTCTTTAATCTCTTTAGTACTTTCTCTTCTCCTTTCTCTTTCTGGAACTTGTTATTCCAGAAAGGGGATAGACCTTAGGGAGTGATCTTCAATTTTTCTTGTTTCCTCTCTCCTATTTTCTAGTTTCCTTGTCCTGTTGCTCTGTGTTTTGGGAAGTTTTCTCAGCTCAATTTTACATTACATTGAACTTTTTCATTTTATACAACCTATCGGGACATTAATGGATTAAGTCCCTTCCTTGTGCAGACTGTCTCCTGTTTGTTTTGGCCTCTGTGGGGCTGCAAACTTCCCCCAGATGTCTGAAGATCTGATCTGTGACTAGTCACTTGTGTTAACAGCTGGTCATTTAAATAACAATGAGATGCCTATACAGACATGTGAGGTTTGTGAGGTTTGCAACTGAGGGCTTCATCTCCTGGTGACTTGGCCAAGTAATTTCTTTGGGGAGCCTCCCATCCATGTATCTTTAGATCTTTTGGGTTGATCATATCGCCCAGAAGTCTATCCTAACCTCAAGGGGGAAAAGGCTGGGACAACGGTGGTTCTCAACACTCAGTCTGTGCCTGAATATGCTTTTCAGTCTGACTGACATGCTTCTCCCCAGGTCTAATGACTCTCAGTTGTACCTTCTCTGGGAAATTAACCTCTAACCTAAGGAAGAACCCAGAGGTTTAGCTACTTGAAATGGGGTAGATGATTTAGGTCATTGTTTTTTGAACAGCCTTCATCGACCATCCTTGGCTACACAGTGTAGTGCCTGATTGTAGCTAAGGACTTGGCTTTGGGAGTTCGCTAACTCAGTTCTGTGCATCTCACTGATGTGGCCCTTTTATCTTAGTGGGTCTCTCAAGGAAGAGAGCCAGATGAAGGTATTTGGCCCCAAACCTTGCTCCCCCTTTTCCATGCTCTGACTTCAATGGGTAAGCTGCAGGATACTTTGCAATCATTCTGCTTATCTGCCTTGTCACTATATTGCTACTTAATCACCTCATGTGTCATTTACTATAAAAAAGCCTCTTGCGCTCTCCATTGCCTACACAACCGTCCAATATTTTTAGTTGTACCAAGGGTCTTGGATAGTGATTCCAGCAGACATTTCTATTCTTGATGTCTTGTTGTGGAGAAGAGTATGAGAATAGAGGAGGATGGTGGAACCAGATGGCCTAGGCCCATTATCTTGGCTCTTTCAGTTGGGCAATCTTGGGCAAGTTACTTAATCACTTTATCTGCACAACAGGTACCTGTGTTCCAACATTACTGAGGATCACTAGAGCCCTTCAGCAGGGCTGACATTTAGGAAGTGTGCCATGAGCATTAAAGATTGTTAGTCCCTACACACCTGTCCCCCAGATTTTCGAACCCTTGGTGGGGAGGGGGGGGTCTCTCATGTAGTGCACATTCGTGGTGTGCTTATAATGGGACACACATGATGCTCTTTCCTAGGGACACTGTAACGAGTGTTTGGCAAACGGGAGCTATAGACTGATGATTCAAATGAAACGTGACAAATGCGACAAGAAAAAGCTCAGAGCAGCAAATACAAACTATGTAAACTTCCTAATGGCTCGGAACAGATGGAGAAGGCTGCACAGATCCCACGTTTAAGATGGGCTTCGACAAATGAATGTAAACGGAAAATGAGGTGCTACTAAGGCTGTGGGTGGGGGGAGAACTACAGGCGAGGCGAGAGAAGCAGGTTCGGGCCAATTCCTCAGCGCCCAGCACAACCTGTTTGAATCTGTGTTTTGTCTTACCCATGTTTGTCGATTGCACCATCCCAGCCAGTGGGAGTGTCCTGGGTAGTTTTGAAGAGTTAAAAGTATTTTGACTGAATAACAAATCCAGCTATTTGACCATTAATTTGAAATTGCAGCCACTTAAGAAACCAGACACAAAAGAACAGCAATTCTGTAATTCCCCTTAGGTAGAAGACAAAAATTCAGTATAGAAGTACCTTTACGAGGGACAGTAAGTGGCAAAGGATGCCAGGGGGACTTCTGGGGTGTCCGTCATACCATTTCTTGGTCTGGGTACTGGTTCTACAGATGTACTGTGCTTGTGTTTGTACAAATATATTCTATTTGGCTGTCTACTGATCTGTGCACTTTGTTGGATCTGTTACATTTTAAGTTTTATTTGTATGTTTTTCACCTTGCTATTCATTTTTTGTGCATTGTTTGATGTCTCCTCTCAGGTATAACCCCCACCAAGACGCCCATGAGCAGCCAAGCAATCTCTTGTGTTCTTCCCACCCCGGTTTTGCGGCCTCCCCCTCCTCCGCCCCTGCTGAATGTTTCTGATTGGCTATTTGCCTGGTTTTGTCTTTTTTTTTTTTTTTTTCATGTGGACCTGTTATATTTTAAGTTAAAACAATAAATGAGATTCCAGATACTTCAGGCTCCTTTGGGGGATACATAAGGTTTTATGTGGAGAAGTGGGGTTAGGCTTGGGACTCAAGGTGCCAACATCACTTGTTTCATGTTATTTTATGGCCTCAGACCAGCTCTTGGACACCCTGAATAGCAAAGCCAAGCTTGATTCCTCCACCCATATAGGGGCTTCATGAGAGTGGGGTGAACTGACTCACACCAAAGGGTCAGCCATTGAGACCCTGAAATACCAACACTCTACCTTTTCCTCACCTCCCAGGTAACAGGGACCAGCTGTTCCTTACCAGCCTTATAAGGAACCTCGGTCACGAGCACCGTGAAGCGTGACTTCTAAAGCATGTAGCAGCTTTGCACCTTTAGAGATATAAAGAATCAATTTTGGGTTTTTTTTTTTGCTTTTTTTTTAAATCTTATTTTCACTAAAAAAGTATGTACCCAGTTACAGACTACAAGACAGAAAATGAGGAGTCAAATCTACTTGAGATGCTTCCCAAGGCAACCATTAGCAGGGTTTTCTTCAATACTCTTAACACACAATTTTATAAATACCAGAAGCATATATAAACATGTAAGTTTGTGTACTAATAGTCCCTCCTCTTTGCTGAAACAAATGGGAACCCACTAGACCCACTTTTGCTTGTTACGAGAGATTTTCCTAGCTGTGAACGTGAACGGGGCCGGTTCTCCCCACAGGCCTCGAGCGCTCCCTCGGCAGGTGTGAAGTGGCTTTTCCAGTGGTGTATTTCTAGCCTCTTGCTTTCACAACCAACACAGCATTGAACATTCTTGAGTAGGTTCTTTGACACGCTTTTTTAATTATACAGAAACTGCTCCAATATGGGTAAAATATGTCCTCCATAACATGTAATAATTATATACAAAACACACATGTGTATGTCAGCATAGAGCTACAACTCTCAGATCAAACTTTTTGACCTCTATGTTTCTGTTTGGTTACTATTAGCATTTCATTATTATTTTAATTAGACAACCTGTACTCAGCTTCACCTATCTTTTCTGTTTCTACCTGAATGAATACTACCCTGTTTGGATTACCACAGCCTTAAAATGTACTTTAATGTCTAGCAGGTTCAGTCCTCCACAAAGAATCATTTCAGAAATATTTTAAAAATATTTTAAGGACTTTTAATGACAGATGTACCAACACAGTACTGTTGCAGCCCTTACTACACAATAAAGACATATAAAATAAATTCCACTGACTGCCTTCCTTGAAAAAGAGGGAATTATTCATATTGCAATTTTAAATAGGAAAAATTGCCCAGTGGGTAAGTTTTATTTATTTATTTATTTTAAAGAATAGACTCATGTTCATAGGATAGGGCATATGAGCAGAGCTAATAAAAAAAAAACAACAGCTATGATTTTTAATCTCTTATTTATTATGTGCAAAGGCCTCAGCAGGGAATAATAACTCAACTGGGTTGAACTGTGTCCTTCCCATTCCTGCCTACCACCTGTGGCAATGCCCTTATTGAAAGTGGGGTCTGTGCTCATATAATCAAGTTCAGCGGTCAGGCGGGAGTAGAAGTGGGTGCTAATCCAATGACTGGTGTCGTTCCAAGAGGCGCCCCGGAAACAAAGAGCAGACGCTCTGTGGGCAGGAGGGGGCCTAATGTCTGCGAGCCACGGAAGGTTGAGGCTGGCCAGCTGGGCCTGCAGTTAGGGAGAGGCTGGGAAGGAGGGTGGACTGAGAGGAGGCACAGCCTGCAGAGACCTTCTTCTTGGCCTCCAGCCCCATAAACGGAGAGAGAATACATCTCCGTTGTTTTAAAGTGCCAATTGTGTGTTAATTTGTTAATGGTAGCCCTAGCAGCTAATATGGCAACACCCCCAAATTTGGCATGAGGTTGAAACTACCATCAATTCTAGAGGATACCACTCTGCTGAGCGGCCTGCCACAGGCCAGGTCTTCACTCCAGCTTCCGATAAGACAAAATGGAAGACTTGGTTTGGAAAATCCTTTGGATGACTCTCTCTCTCTCTCTCTTTTTTTTTTACTATTATCTTATTCAGGTACAATTTATAGTAGGGAAGAAACCATTCCTGGAAAGACACCAATATCTACACAAGACTCACGCTTTTATTATACATTACCTCAGTATGCTTTAACAGCTTCAAAAGTGCTGTTGGGTTGTATGGGAAGAGGTTCTTCTTCTGTAGGCGCTGAATGGCACCTTGCAGCTCCTCAAAGCACCTTGCTGTGCTGTGAGACACACCCCCTTCAGAGACAATGCTGTCTGTGGCTATGTCACAAAAGTCAGAAAAGGGAGCATTACATTCTTTTGGAGCCAGAGGCCGGGAGTGAGGCCGCATACTAAGTCCTGTTTCACGCCCGCCTTTCCCATGGGCATCCTGGGCTTTCTTCTTTGCTTCTTGGTGTACAGAGGTCTGTTTGCTGTTTGCTAAATGCTGGTCTGTGGATTCTGCTTCTGAATCCTCAGAGCTGTCATAATCTACCAGGCTCTGGGGAGCCTTTTGGGGAGACCGACTGTTGCCCTGCAGGGTGGTATGGATATCCTTGGACATCACAGCCCGAAGAAGTAGTTCTGGAGAAGCCGGGGAGACCGGCGAAGGCGCAGGGCCCCCACTCCCAGCAGCAGCCTCAGGGCCAGCGCCTGCTTGCTTGCCGCTCCTGGGCTCGCCGAGGACAGGGACGCCACCACAAACGTCTACGCCATTGTGAAGTTCAGTCACGTCAAAATAGCTGCAAACGGTGAAAAAATTATCCCAGTCTTTCTGTAGCAATTTTAAATACTTAACAAAATATTCCAGAAAACAGGTTTCTGATGAAATCAGAAAATCAAGAAGAACTGAAGAATCAAATCCAATATTTCTAAGGAAAAGTAAGAACATACAGTGTGGATTATAGCCATTGTCATGTGTGTGACGCATCCACATTTCTTTTTCTTGGGGCAAGCTTTCAGTAGCTTCACATTCTCTGAAACAAAGACAATGGAGAGCCCAGGTTGAGGACTTTTCACAAAAATAACAGTTTTAACAGACCCAACTCACCTATCATAAATGTGTGTATTGGATTACTTTTTAATCGATGTATTAGTTTAAAGACACTGAAAGCAATCCGTTCCCACACCAGCTCTAACTCTGACTCAGGTAACAACCAAGACATCCAGGATCCTGCTAGTTCTAGTTTATGTGCCCCAAACATCTCTGTCTTGAAGTTGGGACTCTTCTCTCCTACAGGTAACCAATTCCATGTGGTAAGGTGGGGCCAGAGATGAATTTCCTCCTTCCTCTCCTTCCACGCAATCCCCCACCAGGCAGGCTCATCAGAGCAGGCCACTGCGCCAGAGCTCTGCGGCTGGTTCTAACCTGAATCTAACCTGATTACCCTTAGTGTCCTAATCAGATTCCCCCTGGCACTTTTGCTAGAGCTATAAAGATTGTAACTGTAAGGTAATAAGCGTGGTAAGGCTGGTGACTGACTAGGGATGAAGTCAAAGTTACGAGACAGAGAAAAAGAAAATCATCGTAGTCATGATTTGAATCCCTGCATAAATAGCTAAGCTGATGCCAAGCTGATCTCTTGGAATTCCTAACTGTAAGTCAGTAAGTTCCCTTTTGTTGACTAGACTGTATTGGCTTCTATCATTCACAATCAACATTAATGAATAAATTACATTTAAAAAAACCCCATGAGCTTGAAGTTACAAAAGTTAGATCTTCACATACAAAGAGAATTTAATTCAAAGGCGTCCTCTTTTTTGAGGAGTAAGAAGTCAACTTTGAGTAAGAAGTCAACTTTGAATACAACTACGATATACTCTCCTACCCATGTACATTCGGACTGAATTTGTATTCGACCGTTTCTGAGCCTAATTCAAATCACATGCAGGAATTCTCGGCTCTTGATTAGAACCTTTTGAAAACTGGCCCCGAACACTTAGCGCCTGAAAGGAGCCACTGCCAGCCGAGTCCCAGCACAAGTGAGACCTGGCAGCAGGCTGCCCGAGATCATTAGTAAGAAATCCCTTCCTCTGAGGCCAAGAAAAAAAATGGAAATAAAGCAAATACTTTAGGGTTTTAATAAAGCAGAAGCAGAGAGTGGAAAAGGTCACCAGTTATTGACTTCATGACCAATTAATTACAGATATTTGTCTCAAGAAGATATCACCGCAAGTACAGTGGGATTAATGAAGCGGAAGTTGCATCAGAATAAGCTGTCCCTTATAAGCTGACTTCATAACCAATTCTGGATATTTGCTTCGCTAGCCCCACCCATTGTCTATTGAAATCATAATTTAGAGCAGCTTGTCTGACTTCTTCCAAGTTTTCACTCACCTTGACAAAGGCAAAAAGTATTTTCTAGAAGTTTAATACAAAAAAATTTAGTCTCAGAGGTGAAAAGTCCTTGAACATTAAGGCTTAAAGGTCTTAACTGACACGGGTGAAACAGAGATGGAGACTAAACTGGAACCCGCTTCTACCCCAGGTCTAGGCTGATTTCTCTCAATCTGCCCAACCAGTCAAGTTTTCATAAAGAGAATACAAATGAATTTCATTTTCATGTTGGGCTGGGTTAAAGAAAGATATCGGAATATAAGGAAACCACAAGATTGTTAGGGATTTTTTCCCTTCTAATAATGGAAAGAAAATAATATGTCCAGCACATTATTAGAAAACTTTTCTCTTTTCCAAGCATGTCGTTAGTTCAGTTAAAGTCTACTAACCTGATCAACTTTAGATAGATGCTCATTGATGCTTTGGCAGCCTCCAGCATGTCATCATCTTGTTCTATGAAGACCTTGGACAACCACTCACATGGATCCTGGGATGGCAGTGAGGGATGAAGGTGAGGCCTTAAGAAGCTCAGTAACTCAGACATGAATCTCTGTAAATCAACTTTAAAAAATGGAAATGTCAGGGAATAGGCAACAGTTTGTGAATATATTATTAACTTGCCTATGTAAATATATATAAAAACATATCTAGTGTTCTTTAAAATACATCATAACTCACACTTTTCAAAAAGTCCTGTGACTACTTTGCAAAGTAGGACATTCAATTTTAGAGAAAGGGACTTAATGAAGAAGGTTAATAGTTAAATGATACAGCAGCTCACTGCCTATCTATTTACCAAGACTGCCTAATAACTAATAATCTGAGAAGTAAACGTCATGGGAATTCTTGCTAAAAGCATTTATGTGAATAACTAGTGTAGGTGAAGGAAGGAATCACTTCTTATCACGCATAGGCAGAAGCAACAGTGCAACCCAACAAAATAACTGTCTTTAAAGTTGACAGAAAAATATTTTTTTGTTTGTTGGTGTGAGAAGTAAATAAAAGTAGTAATAAAAGTATTAAGCACAGTAAATAAAAGTAGTAATAAAAGTATTAAGCACAGAAATCAAAAAGTTTGGGGGGGGGGGGAGTGTTATACCTGCCATTTAAACTCTGAATTAACATCTGCCACCTAGCGTTGCAAGTTACAAGTGCAGGGAATTCTAACCAATAGTCACTACCAGCTAATGCCAAGCAAGTCAGGGAAGGCGCTGCTTGTACTTCAAGTCTTCACTTCAATGAAAATGAATGCTGTGTGCTTATGAACATTCATTATTACTTTCTCTCAAATGAAATGGAAGACACGTCTTTCCCAAGACCAAACTGAAGAGCATACCCTAAGTGGCTATCTTTTAAGAGCCCCGAAATTATATGCAACCATTTCCTCAGTAAGACTAAACTCTCCCTGGTTACTTTCACCTCAATTCTTAGTTCTCAATAACCTACATTAGTAGATATACTAGCTCTATGAAGGATAGTATGACTAAAACACCACAGAAATTTGAGTGTGAATGGACTTAAATCAGTAATTTTGAGGTAACTCAACACCTTTTCTTAAACCATCAGCCATTTACCACACAAACTCCATGTAGCCCACAGAGGGCTGACATGTTTCTTAGGGTAATGCTAGTTCTTTTTTCTGAAGAAAAGAACTAGGATAACACAAAGCTTAAATGAGTGAAATTTAAAGTCCTAAGAGTTGATAATCATGGTTATTTTACTTCATTGACTATGTTTTACTCTGTGAAAAAAGGAGTTTGGGGAATTACCTTTCATTTCATCCACTGAAGCACAGCTTTGGAACTTGATTTCTAGGGATTTAATGATAAGCAAGCTCGCAGCTCTGAGAGTCACGTGGTCTGCAGCAGGGATGTGGGCACGACCTGACAGAACCGCATCGCCTCCAAAGCGGGCCAGTTTTCCATGGACAGACAAGGCCCTCAGCAAACCCAAATCCACAGCTTGCAAAATGGCATTAGCTAAAGCCAACATGTCCGCATGGAAATGAGGATCTGGAGGTGTTAAGGTGGGGACAGGGCTGTGGCAAAGGTCTTCACCCACTTTCTGGAGCAGGCACTTTTTGATGAATACAATGCACTTCCTTTTGACAAAGGCCTGAATCGGCCAGGTGATAACTTCCAGCACGTGAGAAGGTTTCAAAAATAAAAGCCTTTGGCAAGTGAAGTGTGACTTCAGGTAGATTCTGGTGGCAATGAGAAGTTCCAGCAATTCCAGGAAAGACATCAAACTAGTTATTATTTTGGAAGCATCCTGGGAATTTTCAAAGTGCTGAGAAAAAAAGGAATCGTAAAATTCTTCAAAAACAGTGTCAAAAGGAGTCAAGAGCTGCTTTAGAATTTCTGCAATTATAAAAACAGTGATAAACAGTAAGAAAAACAAAAGGTTCTTAAGACAAGTTCACAACTACATTTTTCTAAACATTACTACTTGACATGATGAAAAATGGACTTGGATTGTTTACCGCTAGTGTGAAAAAATGAAGCCAAAAAAACAAAGCTAGGCAGATTAACAGCTGATAGCCACCTATCAGTGTTAGACTCTGCGAGGGATGTGTAATAATGAAGAGCTTTAACATTCCCTTTATAGATTTTATTCTTATAAAGAAGAAGCCTCAAACAAAAAAGATGGCAAAGGATTCTTTGATTTTTCACACCTACACTTTACAAACTGTAAAATGAGCTTTACCTTTCACTGTAAACATCACACAATTTGGGAGCAACCAATTCCTACCTGTTTTTTGTGAACACGGGTCTTTAAAGGTCTCTTTTATTACAGCTGTCAGAGTCGAGAGGCAGTGTGTGACTGTATCACTTTCAGTGTACACAGAAAGACTTTTTTGGCAAAGAGTAATCCAGGATTTGTTTAAGGCCATCTACAAGTCGGAAGAAAATTGAAAGTACGAAGTTGTAATATTCTCATTATGATTTACCTAATAGGATACACTACTCTACACAACATTGTTTGCTCCGCCAACCACTTTTGATTTGGTCACATCAGGAGGCACACGAACACCCTAACATTTTTTAAGTCAAGAAATACAATATGCCACAGAAACAAAGGATCTGAAGAGAACGTGACGAGATTAGCAGCAGTTAGCTCTAGGTTGTGGAATGATGAGTCACTTTTTCTTTTTCCTCATTTTCCAATTTTTCTATGGCAAATGCCACCTTCTACCTTCAGGAAAGATGCTAGTTCAACAAAGGTGAAAGTAATGAATTTTGATGAGACAGTCCTATAATTTATTTATATTAAACCTGTTTTGAAAACAGTCCATCTCCTACAGGGGTTCCTGAACCTGAGGGATTGGGGGGTGGTACTGAAGGTTTCCTCCTCTATTCAGCTTCCACCAGAGTCCTGGACTCTTAACTTGAAACCGCCCACTGGGCCTCACATCTATTTACAACCAGTTAAAATACATCAAAGACTCTAACCTTTGATACAGGTCAGTTGTATTATTCCCTCCTTACACTTTGGAGGATTTAGTATATGAGCAGATTTAGTATGTGAGCAGATCATTCATCAACGCAAATATTTGAAAGGCAAAATCAAAAGTCAGAGAGCAATCTTAAAGAAAACTGTGAAGAAACAGCAAGATCTGATGGCTGATCTCACCTTTTCTCTCAACTGGAAATACACAAGCAGAGCCAGGCACTTCGCTGCCATGTGAGGCACCAGCTTATCCGAGTTTTGGAACATACCGGTCTACAGCAGGAAAACAAATAAGTTTACCCACCTTTGCTGAATGTTTCCGAGCTTTTCTTTTAAAAGCTTAGCTCTTAAACAAACACAAAACCCCATGGCTTACTAATTCAGAATCGACTTCTGAGGATTCTAAGAGGATTTCAATGATCTCTCGGTATTTCTCCTTGGCGCGGGGCTCAGTGTCCGAGGACAGCATCCTAGTGACCATCACTCTGATCACTGTTAGCTGCAGGAGTCTCATTTCCCAGGCACTGCTCTGCTGAGCGTTTCTCTTCAAACACCTGTGCACCCCAGAAGCGGAAGCCAAACTGGCAGAGGCTGAGGGTCGCCCGCCTGGGATCCCAGGGGCGCTGGAGCCTTCTGAGCAGGTGGTGGAGGAGGCAGCTTGATCTGAAAATGCTGCACTGAGACAACGGGCATACTCGTGGCTGTCTTTTTCCAGGGTGCCTCCAAGAAGTACCTTCTGGTACAGATGTTCTAAGACTTTAAAGCAAGCTTCCGTTTTGATTGCCATCATGTAGCTTTAAGAAGGCGGATGACTCCAAATTGTAAATATTAATCTTAGAAATGTGACTCGACGATGTTTCTTTGGTACAACCTAAAATAGGAAAAATAAATTCTAATTGTTATGTCCATCGCATTACAGGGGAAAGAAAGGCATCTGTTTCAATTTAGTCACTTAGTTTCACAAGTGAAAGGTAATGTTGATTACTTAATTTCTCAAATGGAAAACTGGTAATAAGAACATCATTTTTTTTTTAAAAAAAGATCTATTTATGCTTACAGAACTGGGGTGCAGGCTAGAGGTTTGGTGGGTGAGAGGATTCACCAGAGACAGAGTGGGGAGCAGAACAAGCAGACTGACAAAGTACACTCTGAGGGGAGCAGCGGGCGGGTCAGGAGAGGTCTGCCGCGCCATGTGGGTCAGCTCCCTGGAGGGGGTTTGAACTCATGCTGCAGTGGCTTTGGAGAGCTTCATAATGTGGTGCTTTAACCTGTTGTGCCACCAGGGAAAGCCCATAAGAACATTATTTTAAGACTATAAAAATATGTCTTCCATACTGATTTACAGGCACCAAATTAATTTGGTCACAGCAGGAAAGACAGCTTTTTTCCTAACACTTTTCAAGGCTTTTCTCCAGACTTCTCAGCCTTTAAGCTGTTCACATTCAGGACCAGATCATTTTGCCGTGGGGGAGCAGTCTACATTCAGAGTGGTTTAGCAGCATTCCTGGCCTCCACCTAGGAGGTGCCAGTAATGGCCCCCTAAGGGCGAAAGTCCATGATTAGAAGGATGCTGGTCTAACCAAATTCATTAACCTTCACCTACTTACAGGTGAAACCTAAAGTCAGATTGCTATGCGGTCATGCTATTACAGTTGGTAACGATTAGTTTCCAAGTTAAAATGATGTGATAACAGAACAAAACCTTGGCTATCACATGTAATGGGAAATTAAAAAAAAATCATCCCCAGAAAGAGATGAGCTATTAGTAATCTGGACATGAAAAACTACTCTTGGGTCTGGATGCATGTAGAGACAGCTGGTCAACCAAGGCTCCTCTGACATGATGGAGACTGGGGAGAGTGGAGGAGGGGAAGGCCAGTAGGGTCACACATGGCTCTCAGAGCAGGGAGTAAAGGCTGTTAACAAAGATGAGTGTTAGCGGCAGCACAGAGTTCCTACAGAGCAAGCAAGAATCTGACTTTGGCAGAAGCAAGTGACAGTACTGACTGTCCTTTTAGTGGAATGCTGGAGCCCCAGGGCATTCTCTCAGGGTTAGGTGCTAGTTCCTTCTTTGCAGCTATTTTACACCGGAAGTTGTAGATATCTGAGAGTAATGCAAATAATTCTTGTCTGCAAACATGCAAATTATCATGGGGAGGGGAATCCTCTCTTCAGTGGAAAAGCTAGATTTGCTATTGATAGGTATACTTCTTCTGTGAGGTCATTTCAACATCCCCTTACTCCATAGAAATGTGTGGTTCTTCCACTTTTCCTTTAAAATGCTGGTGCTATATGCCTGGTTCTCTTTAATGAATGAGGTACATAAAACCTTCATGTGTGGCATGCTTTTGTTTTCTTAAACCTGTTCTTTAACAAAGCCTACAGATCCCTTGTCTGCCCAGAGCCACCTGTAAATGTCTTGCTTCTCTGACCTTCTTCAAAGAAGACTCTGGGTGGGGCAGGGGAGGAGGGGGGTTGTCACTAACATCAGGTCTCACTTCTCCAATAGGACCCACTGATCCATCCTGCTGTGGTCTTAAACCCCCTTCCTCCACTGGCTTCTCCACTGCTTAGTTGCTAAGGAATTTCAATTCCTCACTACTTCTCACAAGACAAAGCTGCCCTGTGATAAATTTCTAGTACGGAAATAAATATGAAGAAACTTATAGTTTTAAATTTAAAGTTATGAAACTTTTGGTAGGTTTTCTCTGAATCCTATTTTCAAGCTATGGTGTGTATCCCGAATGATTCATAAATGACAAACTAACAGTAACCTTGTTCAGTGTGACAGTGTTAAACTTCACCTGGGCCTGTGCTGCCGGAAACGGGGATGGTGAGGCACCATACCCTTTGGTGGTCCAAGAAAAACCTGGACAGGAAGGACCACTGGGTCCATATTCCCAGTCCCTGGGGGACCCCACACGTTCCTCACCGACGCCCTTGTTTTCTGAGACTCACGTGTTCTCAGAACTGCCCACTAAAAAACATTCTCCCTCTGGCAATAGCTTGAAGGAAAAAAAAAAAAAAAAAAAGGTTTTTGGTGCATTTTATCTGTCATGCATGGGAACTGGTTTTCATCTTCTACTTCAAAGTCAAATTCCATTGCACTTATTTGACTTTTATTTTTCAGTTACAACATTTCTTCCCAATAAAAAGGCCATTTTACAAGAGCGTATTTTAGCTTTTAACTGGTATCATATGCTCCACACTATTATAATTTTCGGCAATAAATGGATTGTTTAGTGCAATGTTATAGCAATAAAGATACTTCCAATTACATTTCTGTAAGTCATAAGTCCTTAAATTTTACCACTAACGAGGATAAAATTGCTGCTCTTCAACTGTTTTTGATCTACAGAAAAGGCAATTTCAAATGCTTCACCTATTTCAGCAGGCAAACCTAAAGTGGATGCCAGTAAGTAAACACATAAACAAGCGTTTGGGGTTTTCTTTGTGGAGCGGGGGCTCTTTGCTATGAAGGCCGAAACCAGGTTCTTTGATAAAAATGTCAGAAATCAGGTTGAAAGTTATAGACTTTAAATGACAAAAGACAGACGGCAATGGGCCTTCCCAGGCAAAAGAAAGCATGAAGCATCGAAAGGACCACCAAACGCAGGCGGGAGCAAGGCAGACAGGAGGCGCCTGGCTGCGAAGCCTCCATCTCCCTAACGGCCGTGTCTTTTACAATGCTGACCCCGGCTGAAGCAGTCTACACTGAAGGCGAGATCTATGGGAGGCGCTTCGAGAATTGAGGGGTGTGTGTGTGTTTTAAAGAGCATTTCAGGACAAATCCTCAAAAAACAAAACAAAACAAAACAAAAACAACCAACCTAGGGGACTTAACCCACCGCCGCTTCTTCTGAAGTGGCAGCTATGAGGTCGGTAGGCTTCAAGCTGCAGGACCACCCGGGGCTGAAGGAAGGGGCAGCGTTGGCTGTGGACACCAAGCTTTCAGAGACACTGACCAAGGAAAGCCTGGCGAGGAAGGCTGAGAGGCTCTGGAGGCAGCCACACTGAATGCACCAGAGGACTTGTCTCGCCTAGAAAGGAAACATATTAGAAGAGGTCTAATTAGGACAAGTGACTAAGCAGTACTTCTTGGGGTTCTGTCAGGAAGCGCCTCTTGGCAGAGGAGTGAACTCCCACAGCAGAAAGCCAAATGGGATCCCCTTTGGAAACGTGACATCTGTCAGCAGTCTCTCACTGTTACGGCCCTACAAATTCTGAATTCTGCATTTTGTTCCTGACAGAACATGGAAATCTTAATATAGAAAGACTATGTTTCCCAGCCATCTTCCATAAAGTTGGTGATTTAGGAATAGCTGCTACAGGTTTCAAGTAGCTGCTCTATAGCACATACTTTGAGGATAGCTTTACAACAATGATATGAGGTAGATACTGAATTATCCTACCTGGTTCACAGGTAAGGAAACCAGGGCATAGAGAGAGAAATACCGACCTCCGGCATCCTTTCCGCCTGCTGCGTAACATGAAGTCACAGCCAGTTACTAGACGACCTCCCGGGCAAACCAAAATTCATTTTTGCAAATGACACTGGGCCACCAAAGGTTTGAGTGTTAATCAGGACACCCACTGACTGAAGTTTTGAATTAAATTATTTTTAGTGGCTATACTAAGCCATGGGTTAAAGTCACATTATCCACTGATGGTACTTTGATACAAGATTATCAACAGTTTGAAGGTAGTATGCCTATGAATAACTCGGACCTTGATTTTATTTCATTAAAAGAATTTCAACCTTTTAGCAAAACTGAGATCCTGGGCTTAGATTAGACGAACAAAAAAGAAGAAAATCTTCAAGTTCTAAGGCAAAGCAGAGTTCTTAGACTTTACCTTAAAAGTACAACCTACAGGGCCCACAACGGGTTAGGATGCAGCACTGCAAGCTAATCGCAGCCGCTTCAGTGTGAGTTCCATCCCCGGCCCCAGAGGTGACCACATGGCGGGCAGACCTCTCCTGACCCGCCCGCTGCTCCCCTCAGCAGTGAACTTCATCGATCGGCCTGTTCTGATCCCCACTCTGTCTCTGGCGAATTCTCTCACAGCCCCTGCACCTCTAGACTGTACCTTAGCTCTGTATGCATAAATAAAAAAGAAATACTAAAAAAAAAAAAAAAAGGTACAACCCATAAAGGTGAAAACTGGTAAAACAGAACACAACAAATTCAGAACTTTTGCTCTGAGAAAGACCCTATCAAGAGGATAAAAGGACAACCTACAGACAGAAAATTGGCTGTCCACACATCTAACAATAGGTTCATATCTGGAATATATATAGAACTCTTCACATTCAACAATTAAAATTAACTTAATTGGAAATGGACAGGAGACATGTACAGACATGTCACTGAAGAGGAAATACAGACGGCACTAAAGTCCATGAAAACTTGTTCAACCACATTGGCCATTGAAGATATGAAAATGAAAACCACAGTCAATACCACTATCGGCATGACAGAAGAAGAAAATGAGTGACACTAAGTTTTGGATGGGATACGCAGAGACCAGCCACTTTTGCACTGCTGGTGAGAAGGCAAAGTGGCACAGGCACTCTGGACGCCTGGCAGCTTCTCACAGACCCAGACGCGCTCACTGCAGAGTCTGGTAGCTGCACCCTTTGGTAGTTGTTGAAAATTTGCAGCTACACCAAAATCTGCACACGGTGTTTCCGACAGTTTTATTCATAAACGCCAAAACTAGAACCAACGAGATGTTCTTCGGCTAGTGAATGGCTCACTGCATATGGGCTGTTATTCAGCAATGAAACATCTAGACTCCAAATCTAGAAGTACCAAAGCAGCATGCTGAATGAATGAAGGTGATCCCAAACTCTGTCGAAGACAGTTTCAAATTGGTAGAGAACTGATCAGCTTGACGCATGTAGAATGTGTATGTCTCAAATGATTCTCCAGTCAGTTCCTATGCTTATATGATTGCGAAAATATATTGTAAATGCTGTGTGATTTCCAATTTCCTAATGTTACATGACAATAAAAATTTCACGTCAAAGTGATGAGTAACTTCCACAGCTGTTTTTACTGCATTATGCATCCAAGGATAAACAACACACACATCTTAAATGCAATAAGGAGCAAATTTAATTAGCAAGAGTTACCAGAAAGCTCAAAAGTCACTAGGTTAGCTTTCTGTTATTACAGGGCAGCCCAATGTGAAATGGGTTGCCTGTTTGTGGGTCCTCACCCACTCTTAAAATTCAATTGCACTGCAGGCACAGACAATAATGGGTTTATTTACAAAGGGGAAAGGAAAAGGTACAATCCAGGGAAAGAGAGAGAGAGATACAAGTTAACTAGAACATCCGGCCAACTCTGCTGACTTGGAACTCCAGTAACACACAGATAGCTCATCAAGAGCCACGCGACCAGCCACTAGCCACGTGATCCAGAGAGACACGCAGTCCAGAGAGCATCCCACATGGTTCCCTTATATCTCCCCCAAAAGTCCCAGAATGCCTGCTTAGCAACACCCTTGGGTCCTCGCAGTTCTTTCTGTGGTATTGCTGGGAGCTGTAGTTTCAATAACTGGAGTAGGGGGTGGAGTCCACAAAACTGCAGTGTTCCTTTCTCCCTAACACGATCAGTGTCATTTTTGCTGGGACCCTGGAGCCAAGGGTGGAAGTAGAATTCTCCATCCAGTCTCAGCCTGCCAGACTAAGGCTAAAATAGGTGGCTTTCTTTACAACTCAGGTCACTACACACCTGGCTGTCCCAAGACTTGACTGTCTCCCAGTGCACACAGGCCTTATCATCACACCATCAGTTTGCAAGCTCACAGGCCAGTGGTTTGGACCTTGGTCACACACTGGAATCACTAGGCCACTAGGGAAAATCCCCAAGCCTGGACACCTTGGAGGCTAATGGACTGAGTCTTGCTTAAGAGGAGTTCGGGCATTTTTCCAAAGCTCAAACTGTCCTCAGGGGATAAACCCAATTCTGGCTGAGTCAGGGTTTTATGAATGAAAACATCATAAATATTCATCTTTAATTACTTTATTTCCATTTGTGTGAATTTGATATTACCTACGTGAATGGGAAATGAAGTAGATCTGGGAAAAATCTAATCAATTTTAATATGCTAAAAATATTGTGCAATTTAAGCTGCTTTTAAGATGATGAAAAATTATAATGTATGAGTTATGAAACCTTATAGCACAATTTCAATAGAGCAACTTCGAATTAATAAGTAGTACAGGATGCAAAAGTGGGGTAATAAAATGTCCCTGATTATTATATAATTATATTCCTCAGTCACTTTAAAAATTGTAACTCAAGCAAAAGGTTTTAAGTGAGAAACAAATGGCCAGAGAAATGAAGCGCTGGACATTAGGAGACAACTCAGCGATAGCCTCCTCATGCATCTTGGTGGAGCAGGCATTTAGCAAATGCTCGTTTCTGCCCTGCATGGTGGGTGCTGAGGTGGCTTTGTAAGGCTGTGGTGTCCCCTGCCATGCACATACTTACTCTTGGGCTTCTCTCCCTCCCACTCTGTTTGGAGTTCAGAACTCGTTGATTCTATAATTTGTCTTATAGAACTGAACTTAGAAATTATATGCATACGAGTATACCAATTTTCATTTTTTAACTGGTTTTACACTGCTAAGAAAATGTGAAAGTTGCTGAATTAGATGCATCCTAAAAGCAACAAGTTTAGAACAGGTACTAGAGACAAAAAGAATGTGCAAACATGAAGGCAGGAGTTGCATTAAACCTGAGGTGTTCTACGTGTTTTACAAACTTTTTGTGATGTTTTATGTTTACAATAAATGATGAAAAAATTATGGTAGAAATGAAAGGTCGAACGTTGCTAATGTTAAATACAATCAATATACCTTAACATTAATTATTGTTCTGTTATGTACTTTGAGGAAAAAAGGAAGTTTAGAAATATGATTAATGAGTGGTATAATGGAACAAAGATAGCTTTAAAAACTGGAAATTGTACATTCTTAAATATGAAGTACCTTTCCATGTAGTTTTTTTAGGAAGAGTCATCTCATTTACAGTATAGTATCATTCTACATCTTGTCGAAACATCTGCTAAGTGCTTGCAAAATGTGCCATGTATTCTTTGGATATTACAAAAGAATAGTTAGATATTACACTTTCTAGAAAGTTTTGGTTAAAAAATGAACAACCAGAAGGGATTAAAAACTTTTCTATATGATTTGCAACTAGGAAACAAAAGTTGTATTTTTTCTCATCTAAGCAAGTGTGTAGTAAGGCTGCTCTTTTTGGATTTTATATTTCCCGAGAAGCTTCCCAAATAAACAAGAGAAAGAAATCTTAGGGTTCACCTGGTATGAATATAAATTTATTCACTCATCCATAATTGCTAAGTGCGGTCTCCATCATGCACAAGGATTCCCTTCCAGCCTATTTTCTTTTCTTGAAAAGGTTCCTCTTTACAATTTTATCATCAGAGTTGCTGTTTAAAGGGGAAAATTCTTTAAAGGTGAAAAGAGTCAGATGTTCATGCTGAGAACAGTTGTATGACTATTCCATCAAACTATTTACCTACATCTGAAGAGGTAACCTGCATTTACCTAGATAGGTAACCTGCCCTTTACCTACACACTCATCAATGACAAGTCAACATCCCTTGGAGTCCCTCTTCCCTTCCTGGAGGTTCCGTCTGTCTGTTTGCCTTAGATAAAGTCTAACCCCCTGAACAGAGCTTGGTAGATGGTTCAAAATCTGATTCTTGGGGTTCTCACTTCTGAGCCCCTTCTCCCAATGAAGCTCACATTTTCTCTGAGGTCTTCAGACACTTGCACTTTAAAGAGTCCCAACTTGCTTTTTAACCTATTCTTTCTGACTAAGCCACACTCAACCTTCTCCCTCCCACTCTCAGCCTGAAGTTTGGAAGCCTAGAGCCCTGGAGAAGCCTTCCTTCCACATAGCCCAGTCAGGATTCAGTTCCTTCATCCTATTTCACAGCATTTCTCTCACACCATTGTCCATAACTATAGTCGTGTTTTGTTCTCTCACACTTGATTAGGCATTTCGCTGAACAGAACTGTGCTCAGTTTACCTACAGAAGCCACTTGCCAGAGTACATGGAGAACTCTAAAAGTGTTATAGGGTAGCCCAAGTGGACTGGGCCGCCTGTCTGTGGGGCCTCACCCGCGCGCGCTCACAATTCGGTTATACTGCAGGGACACACAAAAGGGCCAATAACAGGTTTATTTACAAAAGGGGAAAGAAATAGGAAACAACCCAGGGAAAGAGAGCAGGATACAAAGTAACTGGAATACCTTATTGCTAGGCTGACTGAACACAATGAATCAATCAGGAGACCTGCTTCCCGAGGAAAGATCAAGCGATGCAATCGCACCCTATTTATCCCCCAAAGTCCCAGAATTCCTGCTAGCTCCGCCCTTGGGACCTCGCAGTTCTCTCCCTGGTACTGCTGGGAGTTGTAGTTTCCAATCACTGCAGTAGGGGGTGGGGTCCATAAGACTGCAGAGTTCCTTTAGGACATCCTTTCCCTTAACAAAAGGAGTGTTCTTGAATAAAGGAATCACAGTGTACAGAAAAATATGAGGAAGCAACCTCAAGGTGTTTGCAGTGGCATTCATCTTTCACAAAACATCTGAATATAATTTATGACATAAAAGTAGTTGGTAAGGGCCCTCCCTGGTGGTGCAGCAGGTTAAAGCACAGTACTATGAAGCTAAAGTACCACTTCAGCATGCGTTCCATCCCTAGCCGACTAGCTGACTGACCCACATGGTGCGGCAGACCTCTCCTGACCGGCTGCTGCTCCCCTCAGCAGTGTTCTTCCATGATCTGCCTGTTCTGCTCCCCACTCTGTCTCTGGTGAATCCTCTCATCACCCTGCACCTCTGGCCTGCACCCCAGTTCTGTATGCACAAATAAATAAATCTTTAAAGAAAAGTAGTAAAATATTCCTTTCTATAATTAGGAAGGTCTTCTCTGAGGTCATTGGTGGAAGCCAAATGTTTGGTGGGCTGGATGACTTAGTTTAAACTCATGTCAACCCTTGCCTGAATTGCAACAGGCTACACTGGCAGCAGCCTCACCCAGCTACCATCCTCCCTTAGGTAAAAAGCGATCTTTGCAAAACAGAAATAAAATACTCTAACTTTGATACCGTGTGGCCTCCAAGGCCCCTCAACCCCCCACCCCATTACCAACCATTCTCACCCTTACTCACTCTGCGAGCCACGCTGTCCTTTCTTTCTTGAGGTTCCTGTAACAGCAAAGGTTTTGCTGCATTAGTGGCTTCGCTTTTTGACTCTTCTGCCAAAATCCACCCCGCCCAGCAAGGCTTTGCAGCCTCCTCTTCATTCAGAAAGCTGCTCAAATGTCACGTCTCAGACACGCTTCCAGAGGACCCATCCGAAAGCGCCATCGCGTCCTCGCGAAACTCCAGTCTATTATTCTATTCGATTCTCTTGAAATCACTTAGCAAGATCATTTGGTGCTCGTCTCCCGCGTTATAGTGAAAGCTCCGGGGCGAAAACGATGCGTCGACCTTGTTCACGGTCGTCTCCAAAGAGTGGCCGGCCGGCTAAAGGCACTTAACAAACACGCCCATCTCGCGGGAAACCACGCCATTCCCCTTCATCCCAAGACTCCCCGAGGGTCGCTGTCTTTGCAGGAAAGTGCCTGGGCCGTGATGCATCCCAAGAGGTACGTCGGACTCGAGCAAACCGGGCCGAGCGCCCGACAGACGGGCGGAGGACCCGGCGCGGCGCAGAGAGGCGCCCCTCTCCTAGTTCCCTGGGGACCGCCGCCCCCCTCGACTTCAGCCCTCGGCCCAGCTCCTTAGTCCGCCGCACACACGCCTCCCTCTCCCTGGAGCTCTGCGGCCGCTCCCAGTTACCTGCCAAGGATGCGGGGTTCCAGCCTTTCTGCCTTCGCACCGCCACCCGAGCGCGAACAGGCCCGGATCGGCCACCGTACTTCACGGAACGTCCCAGCCGGCCCCTCCTCCCGCGTGCGCAGAGGGGCCACTCGGCGTAGAGTGTCTCTTAGCAACCGCTTCGAGTCCCCTCGCCGGGGGCGGGGCATCGGAAGCCACCGGGGGGAAGCCGAGGGGAAGTGAGTGAGGCCAATCGGAGACGAGTCCCAGCCTCGGTCGGCACGCCTCCTCCAACTGTCGCGAAGGCGCAGGTGGCTTTACGGCAGGCGAGGGGTGGGGGCTGCTGGGGGTAAGGAGGAGAGAAGGAAGGAACCAACCAACCAAGTCGCCCCCACCCCCCCACCCCCACCCACCCCGGACTTGGTTTACGGCTCCAGGCTCGGGCTCCAGTGCGGCCGCTGATTGGCTACTGAAGGCTTGGTCCCTTCCCAGTGACCCCAAAGTGCTGAAGGGAGGGGGCGGGGGTGGCCCAGTGCAAAGTGCATCCCGAAAGCCCCCTGCCTGGAGCCCCCGCGGCTGGCACTTCGGACCCTGTATGACCCGGGATCTCGCTGCCCCGAGACCTCCCGGATCCCCCGGTAGCTGGGAGCCGCCGGCCCGGAGCGCGGCAGCCCCTAGCTTCGAGCCCTCGGACCCGGACTGCCCCCCCACTCGAGCCGGGACTTCCTCCCTGCACCCCTGCCCCGAGGCTGCCCGGCGGCCGGGACCGCCGCCCCCTGCCTGCTCGACTGTCTGGATGTTCGGCTGGCTGGGACCGTGAGGCACCGGAGAGGATCAGGAACACCCGTGTCCGGCCCTGCCTGGGGTGTTTCTTCAATGGAGAAGTTGGTGAGTGTGGAGGAGGCTGAAAGGAGGAAGAGAAGCAGCAGCTGAGGAGACAGGTAAAGTCAGTTACCTCTCCCCAGGGGAAGGGGACTGGCTGGAGGGGAGAGAATCACTGCTTCTTCCTGCCTGCCTTTGCCACTCTCTTCCTTTGCTCCCCCTCCCTCAAAGCCCCTTCCTCCCCGCCCCCGGGGCACTGCACCACTCAGCTTTCTGTTTTCCAGATTTGAGCTGGCTGGAGGACACCCGAGAGCAGGAAGAGGACTGCCCACCCACCAGAGAAGCTGGCGAGAGCCTCCGACCAGCATCCTCTATAAAGGTACTAAGGCAGCCTTCCCCTCCCCCACTGTTTATTTCTGGCCCCTACCTCTTTAAGCGACGCTTTCTTTTCTGGGTGGTTACCTGGGAATGCACCCTTTCCTAGCTCTCAGTTTCTCAGCAAAAACCCCAAACACTGCCCGTGCCTTAACATTTTGCCAACTTCTCTATCCCAGAAGTGTCCTTTCCACCTTTTCTTCTGTACAGTGTGCTTCCTTGTTTTGCATTTTCCTTTGGTACCCCGCACCGTATCCCCTGCTCTGAGACTTTGAGACCTTTTTGTGGCTCCCCCGCCCCCTTGCCCTCACAGGAATACCTCAATTTCTTGTTAATTGCTTGTTAATTCTGAATGACTCTGCTTTTTAATTAAACCACAATTTTCTGTTTTTCCCTTATTCTTTCCTATCATCTTTCTTCCACTTCATCAGAAAATCTTTTGAGTTACCTAGCTGATAAGGGTTTGGCAGAGCAAGGGTTAGTAAGGGACTGACATGGATCAGTTTGAGAAAATAATGTGATTTTTTTCCTAGTAAAATGTGCATCTGTGTACCTTAATAGTATGAATGGAAGAAAACACCATTCCCCCCGAAGTACTTATGTATAATTAACTCTTTGGGCTTTGTGTGTTTCTGTGTGACAGATGTGGGTAGACTCTGACACTGTTATAAAAAGATAAGTAATATTTGTTGCTCTTCAGATTTTCTAGGAGAACTTATGAAACTTAATGTAATGTCTTATTAATCATGCTATACTCAGAGAATTTGAAAACAAAAGAATGGCTTGGTGTGTTTAGAATGTAGGACTTTATTTTTTCACTCTTTATAAATATGATTTCTCATTTCAAAACCCCTACAGCGAATTTGCTAGGTTGAAATTTAAGTCTCTTTTTTTTTGTCATCACATTTCTGCTACTGTATTTTGTTGCTGTCTCTGAAAATACACTAAAGGTAAGTTTAGACAGTCATGTAATTACCAAAGGAGATGTGATTAGAGAAATATACAAGAGTTAATTTAGAAACTAGTCAGGTAAGTGACTTTTTTTTTTTTAAGATTTTTATTCATACAGAACTGGGGTACAGGCCAGAGATGTGGAGGGTGAGAGGATTCACCAGAGACAGCAGGGAGCAGAGCAGGCAGATCTACGAAGTACACTGCTGAGGGGAGCAGCGGGTGGGTCAGCAGAGGTCTCCTGAGCCATGTGGTCACTTCCTGGGCAGGCGGGAATCGAACTCATGCGGAAGTGGCTTTAGCTTCTTAGTGCTGTGCTTTAACCAGGGCCCGTAAGTGACTTTTTAACATCCAATAACAGTAGTTAAAAGTGACATGTTAACCTTAGTTCTTTTAATGTCTCAAACTGTTTAGGAAATATTAGGTGTAAATAACTTAAAATATCAATAGCAGAAGTTGTTAGGAAATCTCTTATTTATTCAGTTCTATTAGACTTCTTGCCTTTCTTAAAAAGAAATTACTGTCTACTAATTCTTCTAAAGTCAGGATACAGCTAAAGTTACTTTTAAGGGACTATGAGGCTTTGCATATTCTTGAGACTGGAATTGGCTGCTAAAGAGTATTTGTTGTTTGAGATTTACAATTAGTATCTACCAGTTACTGTTCCATAGATAAATTGCATGCATACATAGAGAATCCATCATGATTGTCATTTCATTTTAGTAAAAACAAGCAGAAGTTTCTAAAGTTAAAGAATAATTTTCATTATTTAAATATATAGACCATTAGAGATAGGACTATTGATATTGATATTCAAAATGCTGACAGGTTTGAAGTATGTTTTTAAGGTCAAAATGAAATATATTTTTTACTTCTGCCTTCTCAAATTTTTTTTCCCCCTCCTTTAGAGTTAACTCTAGGATATGTTTATTTCTGAGGGATATTCTCACCTGGAGGGTAAGGAAGCAGGTTTGTGGTGAGTCAAGCATGTCAGTAGGAGACACAGCTTTCTCTGGCTTCCAGCCATTGCTCCAGTACATTTCATTGGTCTGCTCAGCTTTCAGTGATTCTTTTAAGGTTGAGAATATATGTAAATTGTCAGCATCTGTTTCTGGTGTTAGCATGACTGAGGCTGTTTGCTCTAGGTTATGCCAAACATTTAAAATATTAAATTTGGCTATTTTTTTTTAACTGTGCAGTTAGGTAGCTTATCCTGTCTCAACCTGATCAGGTTTGTGTTAATTCTATTGCTCATCACATGTTATTGCAAGAAAAGAAAATGCTTGCTTTTTGATAATCAAATAAGATTTGTTTACATCAGAAGAATAACTGCTTGTAATTGAAGATTTTAAACGATGCTATGTTCCATAATTATTTTTATAGTATCAAAAAGGATGATGTTCAAAATTATTTAATATCATGACAGAATGACAGAAAAATACCTTTTTTTTTTATTTTGAGGTCCACATTACTCCTAAAAAGTATGAAGACAGATACCATTTATGTAAGCTAAGCATATCTAATGCCTGACTTTCTGCCTTTCATGTCATTCTCAACTGAAGGTATTCCCAGAGTAGAGTATCCTGTCCTTTCTTGCAGACTTCTTAAGCATTGGCTTGAGGTTGCCAAGATAATTCTAGCAAATAGGGGTTAGTAAGATAATATTGCTAGGACTTCATAGTTTCTAGTTCTTTTGTTGTATACTTAAGAGTTGAGTCTGAATAAGTGAATGACAAAAGTCGCCTCTTTGTATTTCATGAAAGTTTGGGTTTTCCTGCTGGCATATAGGAGAGCTACTAGTAAGTAGTGCTTGATATTAACCCTGTGTTAAATGGACGCCCAGTAATTTGGGTGACATCTGAATATCCACACGTGTTTTGGAGCCTGGACACTCAACTGTGTGGAATAGTACTGAAATAAAACTGCTACTTTCTTCTGGGTTGCAGCCTCTTGGTCACACAATTAGAACTCCTCCCCTGTGCCTCGGCCACAGTAGCGCCCACTTTGATCCCAGCAGTGACCCTGTGTCCATCTTCCCTCTTAGGGCTTGTGAGCCATTGGTGGTTTTTGTTCCTGAGAACCAGCTTCTTGGCATTAGTGATTTTATTTCCTTACCAGCCTGTATCTCTGTTTACTCTGCAGAGAAATGTGCTTCTTTCTTTTTTTGAAGAGCAAGCTGTTACCTTGTTTTTAGTTTGTATGAAATTTGAAAGCACAGAACTTATTTGTATCAGTTAATAAAAAAATGTGTGGACTTTTAGTGAAAATAATACGCAAAAAGCCATTAATGACTAATGCTTTATGCCACAGAAAAGTGGGGACATACGCAAGTTTGGGGAAAGCTATATAATTGGAGACAAGTCTTCAATATGTTCTTGTTTTTTGGTTATTTTATTCTGTGCTGTAATCTATGAATATAGACTTCCTTTGCATCTTAACTTAATATGAAGTTCACTTAGCATCTAAATGGAAATTAGATGGTTACTTATTTTAATTGCTAAATGAGTTATTTTTAGCATGGTCAGCAGTATAAAAGCTGGAGGCCTATACTGGTTTCTTTTGACCCCATGTCAAGTAGAAAAGATGGGTTCATAAAATCTTAGCATAATGTTAACATTGAGCATTAAGGTCTCCTATAAAGCTTTTGTGCATTTGATAAATAATTCTGTAGTTTTGTTTGTACATTTTTTCTTTTTTCCATCTATGAAGCCTTGGATGGAATTTCTAAAGATTGTACCCTCAGAGGGTCAGTTTTTAACTTCATACATCATCATTAATTTAAAACCACTTAACATTGGCCATATAGTAACTCAGAGCATTGTCTCCACCATATTCCTTATTTTGTAAGTGACTTCTAGGGGCTTCCAGTTTTTCAAACTTGCTCTTCTAGAGGGGAAGTGGCCATTTTCCATTCTCATCTCTGCACTTCCTCCTGTTTTAGATAAGCATGCTCACCACTGAATGCTGCGTGTGTAAGTTCAGTGGTCTTTTTTCTCTTTATTGATCGATACATACCCGACTAGCTATTCAGCTTTTGTAAAATAACGCTAAGATGCAATCGTACGATGCTTTGGACTGTTGGCATATTTTGGCAGTAAGTTATTGTCCTTAAACTATTGGCATATTTCGGTAATAAGTCATTGTCCTTCACTGTGAAGGGATGCAGCTGCCAGGGTCACAGACACAGTGAGTGTACGTGTGCCGGCTCCCAGGTGCAGTGTACGTGTGTGTGTGTGCCCACTCCCAGGTGCGGTGTGTGTGTGTGTGCCTGTTCCCAGGTGTGGTGTGCGTGTGTGTGTGTGTGTGCCCACTCCCAGGTGCGGTGTGTGTGTGCGTGTGCCTGTTCCCAGGTGCGGTGTGCGTGTGTGTGTGCGTGTGCCCGCTCCCAGGTGCGGTGTGCGTGTGCCTGCTCCCAGGTGCGGTGTGCGTGTGTGTACCTGCTTCCATGTGCAATGTGCTTGCATGTGCCTGTTTGTATTTTCCTGTACGGATTGATGTACAGGAGTGTTTTTTCAGCTGAAACCTGTGGTTATAATTTAAAGCATGTGGCACTGTCAGAAAAGGGGAAAATGATCTTAACATCTAGGATTATTTGACACTTTTAAGTTCTCAGAAATCTGTTAAAACTCCACTTGTAGGGAGCAGCACTGGCCACGGCCTAGCAGAGCACCATAACAGGTCCTGAGACTCTCACCCGTCTCTTGAAGTTGCCCAGATGGGATGATCACAGGTTGCTATTGTTTGTGCGTCTGTCTTGTGTAGAGAAGTACTATGTCTCTTTGTCCTCAGGTCAAAGCTTTTTCTTGGTACCATTAACGAATATACCCTCATACTCTTCTCAGTCCCACCTCTTCTGTCCTCCCCACCAGCCCGACCACCACCTTGGAAGAAGGTGGTAGATGGAAGGAAGCAGCTGGGATGCTTAATGGTTTGAGATCTTGGAACATACTCTTGGGAGGCAGGGATACCAAAGACACACTTGGCAGTAATGCAGCGGGTTGTGTTCACTCGTGAAATGTAGATGTCGCTCTTGTGAATACTCATGTTCACTTGTAGAAATGCTGGAGCCTTATTATCATTGGAGATACTGTTTAAATAAGCTTTATTTTACAGTAGTTTTAGATTTACCGAAAAATGCTGACGAGAGAATGAAATTCCCATGGTCCACAGTTTCCCATATTAATATCTTTCAGTAATAGATGTTAGTCACAACGAATGGACTGCTATTGATGGATTATTGGGAACCAAACTCCATTTTATCTTCAGATTTCCTTAACTTTTACTGAATGTTCTATTTCTGTTCCAGGATTCCATCCAGAATACTATTCATTATTACTTTAATCACCTTGTCTTCTTAAGTTCCTCTTGACTGTGACAGTTTCTCAGACTTTGCTTGTTTTGAAGTGTTTTGACCTTGACATTTTGAAGAGTACTGTCAGGTATCTGTAGGATGTCCCCGGTTGGGATTTGCCCAATATTTTTTCTTATGATTAGACTAGGGTTATGCATCTTGGGAGATAGATCATAGGGCTAATGCAATTCTCAAATCATATTGTCAAGTGACTTGACACCTTTGATATTAACCGTGATCAGTCACCAGACTGAGACATTGAGAAACCTCCTTCCTGTTAAGTCTGTCTTCCCTTCTTTGGAAGAAAATCACCATGCATGGTCCACACACAGGGGCGGGGAGTTAAGTTCCACCTCCCTGTAATACGTGCAGTTCTGCAGGTAGTTCAGAAATTAGCTGCAGTACTGTGCGAATTCACTTTTTCTTCTCTCTTCACTTAGTCAGTTCTTTATATAAATATGAACTTTCAGTTACTCTGGTTTCCTAGCCAGTTGCCCTTTAATTATTTTGTTGTTCAAATGGTTCCATCTTGGCTCTTGAGGACTCTTTCCGTTGGCTCCTGTGTCCCTCTGATACTCATCCATTTGCATGTTTCTTCCAGCATTTCCTTCCTTTGTGGCACCGATGCTTCAGGCTCACCTTGGGCATTTTCAGCCCCAGTCTGAGAACCAGCCATTCCCATCAGCATAGCTCTGAATTTTTTATAGCTTGTCTTGTAGGAACTAAATCACGTTTATTAGGAGGTAGTGGGTAGATTTTTAAGTCAAATACTATTATTCCAAGTCCATGCTGGCAAAGTGTTTGGCCTTCTTCACAAAGTGCAGCAGAGGAACAACTAGGCATGAAACTAGAGAAGGGGCCGCATGGACTGTACTCATTTGGGGGTGTGCGAAGTTTCCAGTATGCAGCCAACAGCACGCATGGTTCTGTTCCCCACAGCACATGGTTGCCCAGGACCCTCAAGGTTGGGTTTGGACAAAGGAGGGCTAAGCCAGGGATGGGGCACAGCGCTCCCAGTCATTCCTGGAGGGACTCTATCCTCCTTCTCATGTGAAACTCACTTTGCATCTGGTCTTCACTTGGAAGGCATTCACAGACATCAGATTTAACTGACACAGACATCTTTTTCTTCTAGTTGTAGAGAGAATTTCATTTTCAGTATTCATTTGGGGAAGCCAGCAGACCTGTTGTTCATAGTTTCGTATATACTTAAAGGAATAATGCTCTCAAAATGATGAACGTGAAGATTTGAGCATAGGACTTTTGAACCAGCTCCTGAGGACAATCTCCTACTAGGTGTCCTATTTTCTGTATGGACTCTGGCCACCTCCTGGATTGAATGCAAACACAGTCTCATTTTAGTCCTGTTTAGAAAGTGCAAACAGCGAATAGTGTCCGTCAAAGAGTAATTGAAATGAAGCAAGTCTGAAAATACTTGCTTCATTTCAGTTCTGAAGGGAGGAAAAAGAAGAATCTGTGCTTGTATTCAAATTCTGAATATGTGGTTTACTGTTTACTTTATTCTTTTTCAAAAACTCTCCCATTTTAGTAATAAAAATAAGTCATATTCTAGACCACCTTGGAGAATAATGTAGTAGCAAGATGATTTTCACTAAGAATTGGCCGGAGGTTTGTCGTTGGGCGCAAAAAATTGAACTCATCCAAAGGTAGACTCTGACGGCTGCTTTGACTCTATTATTTTTAAGAATTTTCCTGTGATGTTTGTCTTTAGGTGAAGAAAGCTCTTATGTGCTGAAGAGAACACCCTGAACACCCATCAAGCCTCCTCCCCATGATGCTGTATGTGCACAATGGTTATTAGGCAATCCACCTGTCAGGACGAGGAGCATCTTTCCAGAAGGTGAGTGAGTCCATCTGTACTATTTTGGGGAAAACCCACCAAGCTCTTTTTAAAGATTTATTTACTCATACAGAACTGGGGTACAGGCCAGAGATGCGGAGGGTGAGAGGATTCACCTGAGACCGAGTGGGGAGCAGAACAGGCAGATCGACGAAGTACACTGCTGAGGGGAGCAGCGGGCGGGTCAGGAGAGGTCTGCCGCACCATGTGGATCTCCTCTGGGGCAGGCAGGGATCGAACTCATGCTGAGGTGGCTTTAGCTTCTTAGTGCTGTGCTTTAACCCGCTGTGCCACCAGGGAGGGCCAACCTCTTTTCTTAAGACCAGCTAATGTGAACTGAGCCTCGCCAGAAAATCCAGGTTTGTTGCTTTACTATTGTTTGAAACTTTTTCTTGAATTATAAGCTTCACTTAAGGTAATCATCTGTTACAAAATCTGTTACAGATGATCATTTTGAGTATTGTGACTTTTATGAATTCCTTCTAATGCCTTTTCATTGTCTTCTCTTAAAAATAAGTCTATTCCTAAAAGATTCTTTAATTTTTTTTTTAAGACAAGGGACTTAATTTGTAAAAAAGGAATTACGTGAACATCATGTTTATTGGGAAAACAAATTGCCAGGAAATATGTCCCAATTTTCTCTGGAAATGGTCCTGGATAGTAGTCTAATAATTTTAAATTGCATTATGGAGTAGTGCTATACTTAATGAGTTTGTAGTGACCATTTCTATATATAAAACAACATTAGGTATTTGATTATACTCATAAGATGTGATGATTTGACCCTAAGCTAGGATTCAGTTTACCTTTTTACAATATATAATGAAAAGTTTTACAACATAAATTTTTATTGGTAACAAGATTATCCCAAGATGTCTAACCTACATCTGAGACCAAACTACTTTTAAAGGACTTTATCACATAATGTTTTTATTTTTAGAAATGTACATACTAATTAAGAGGTGAGTCTTAGCTATCCTTTAAAATTAACCAGATGAAATGACTTAATAGAAGCGTGTTCATTTAAGTTTCTGTATGTCTTTAAAAGCTTAAAAATTCTCTAAAATATTTCTGTGGACTTACAGACAGTATGTAACTTTTCACCAGTTTAATTAGGACTTCATTTGTATGAAGGTAGATCTCGTTTTATATTGAGTACATCTTTTTTGAAACCTTCCTAGAGTGTGGGAACGCCTTATGCTTTTCCTTAGAAATAATTTTTACAATTGGTTAACCAGCAGATTGCTCAGGTTCTTTTGGTTTTTCAGTAATTTGTGTGATCGTGTTACTTTACGTACTCATGGAGTAAAATATCTGGTAAACTAGTTAGAAATGTGTTAAAGATCTTTGGGAGTAGTAAATCACATCGATACAAAGTGGGGTAGATAGAGAGGAACAGGCATATACACAAAAAGAAAGTAAATATAATTCAAACATCTCATTCTAATTTACTTAACTCTGCTCATAACCCTCCCCCCCCCCACCACTCTTTTAGAGCTAAAAATAAAAAATGTTGAAATACTTTGGGCACCCGTCTGCAGCTTTTTTTTTTTTTAAACAAATTCTCATTATTAAGACTCTCAGTCTCACTTGTCTGCATATTGTCCATTTAACATTTCATATTTTCTCCCTGATCTGTGATAGAATCCTTGAGTGGGTTATAACTTAAGTTTCCTTTAGTTGCATCAGAATAAGACAAGTACTCACCTGACTTCTCTGTTGAATCCCATCTTCTAGCTGCCCGTTATCACCTTCCATGTTACCTAAACAATGCTGTTCTGTTCATAGGATGTTTGAGTTCTCAAACGCCTGCAGAAGAGATTTCCTCGGTCAGCAGTTGAGCAGTTGATGCTTGGCTTCCTTATGGGAATCATCATCTGACATTTCGGTCGTTGTTGGTTGCTTGCTGATACGTACTAGCTATAGTAGAATGAACTGTTATCACTAAGGTTTGCATGATCTGTGTCCGCAAATACTGTCACATGAAATGAACAGTGCTGTTAGGAGCCAAGCATTCTAAGTTCCATGTGTTCTGCCACCCTTGAAGGCTGATCCCTGTGACCTAATGAATCCTTTGTAAAAAGTGGACTCCGCGAGGATGTTACACCACCACTGTCGAAGGAACCCTGAACTTCAGGAAGAATTGCAGATTCAGGCTGCAGTGGCTGCCGGGGATGTTCACACCGTACGGAAGATGTTAGAACAAGGCTATTCTCCAAATGGCCGGGATGCTAATGGCTGGACCCTGCTTCATTTCTCTGCAGCAAGAGGAAAGGAGAGATGTGTTCGAGTGTTTCTAGAACATGGAGGTGAGTGAATTGGAAGCAAAGCTTTTTCCCAAGGAAAACCTTAAAAAGCAATGATACTTCATTTAAAATGTTTGGAGGCCTGTGATTGTAATTTTTAATGCAGCTTCTTATTTTCTCCTTTGTGAGATTATTACAGTTTTATTGAGGTTTATTTAAAGCTGGGTTGCTTCAGACGAGCTTCTCTCCTCCCCAACTGTAGTTTCTGTGCAGAAATGACTGTGGCCCCAAGAATTAAATAGAACAAATGTCCGCGGTTGCTCTTTGCTCATACAGGCAAACCTGGCATAGTCCTTACAAATACCATGGCCAGATGCCTTCCTGTCATTTCACTTTTTACCTCTTTAAAAACTTTTTTGGATGCTTGCTTTTGTTACTATTTGAGAACGCTTGTCTTTTCCAGAATTGCACTCTGCTTCTGGGTCTCCTGCGAGAAGGCGGGTTATCTGAGGCCCAATTGTATATAAGTCTATGCAGGTGGGAGCTGCACTTCACATTCCACAGTTTTGCTTTGAAAGACTCTCTCTTCCCACGCTGAAAAACTATTCATTGGCTTGACCAAATTTAATTTCTTCTTTTGTTGAATTTTTGTCTATTTAATTTTCCTAAGACGCTCTACAGGTTTCCCCCACTATCCAAAAGCAGAATGTTGATTCCTCTGAAATGTTTCATAAACCAAAATGGCAGAAAGCAAAGAGGCACTTACCATTGGTTTGTATAGAAAAAATTTTGAACCTTCCCTGATCCAAAAAATAGAAGACAAATCATTCCCTCTAACACATAGTAAAAGCTGGACTGATAGATGCACAGGCTGTGGGAAGTAGTTTCTAGGGAGGCAGCTACTGCTTGGGGTGAGGCTTCTGCAAAGCAGAGGCTGAATGCTAAATGCTTCTGCCTTTAAGTCAGCAAAATCCTCTTCAGATATCTTGCAGTTGGATCAGGTACTCATGTGGGTCTTCCGTAAAAACAAAGTGGCCTAATGGGAACTTGAAAAGTGGGCATACCTGCGCTTTACCGTTCATACCTGCATTACCTAAATGATGCTGTAGAGCAGTTTGGCACTCGAGTGACACGTATGCCACTCACGGCCCTGGCTTGCTTGTTGACACCCACTTAGTTTCATTTTAAGGTGAACTTGGTTATAAACAAGACTAGAAAGGACAGAAAACGTTAGGACAGCCAGAGCGCAGCCGTGCGGACTTAGAAGCGGGGGAAGAGTTGGCGCCGCTGAGCCTGGGAGCCCACACACCTTCAGGGGCCTGGGGGTTTTGAAGTCGTTGCCTCTTGTGGGCCGCAGCTCGCTGGGTCTGTGCCGCCTTTGTGTCTGTCCTCTTGGCCTTTCCTGCCTCTTTTGCTCCTTCGTTCACCCCTCACACTTGAAAACCCCATCTCTGAAGTGAATGAAGGGGAAGCGTAAAACTAAAAGGTGCGTGTAAGGTCAGAACATTCAAAGATGTGTGTAGTAAAATGAAGAGCAGTTGACATTTTCTTTTCCCCCAGTCCTGCCACTCTCTACTTCTGCCAGCCTCACTTAAGTAATAGTAATAATAATAATGATAAAAAGCTCAGCTATTCAGGAAATATATTAATATTTTCAGGTAAACTACAAAGCCAAAGTCCTCTTTGGCCCGCTCCCAGTCCTTATCTGCCCGCCTCTGCCCAGAAGTCACCGTGGTGTGAGTTTGGATTGGTTCTTACCTTTCTAGATCTTGCTGCATATCATACTATTGCATGTGCTCGTAGAAAGTCTGTGTGGTTTTAGAACATGAGTGGTAGCAGGTAGGATTTTTGTGCCGCTGTTGATTTTTTGCTCAACTACATAAAGTTCTTTTTAATAACAGGGGTTGGCAAACTTTCTGTAAAAGGCCAGGGAGTATGTATTTAGGCCTCCTGAGCTGACGGCTCTGTCGGAGCCGTGCAGACCTGCGGTTGTGGCCGTAAAGCCGCCGTAGGCGGTGTGTCAGTGACTGGCGCGCTGTGTGTCAGAGAAACCTCAGGAAGCAGTGGGGGGTAGGTCTGACCTGCGGCCACACCCCCCTCGCCCTTGTACCCCGGCGCCCTCTCTGTATGCGTGCTGTACGTCTGGTCAGTGAGAGGCCGCATTAGCCTGCGACGAGCCCAAAGGGCTGCGCCGTGCAGCATGGGCGTGAGGTGGCCTCTGCCTCCTGAGTCGGCGTCATCACAGGCTGGGTGGCCATGCGGTGACACTGCCTGGTGATGTGTTTGTCAGAACATGCTCCCGTTGCTAAGTGACACATAGCTGTATATGTAGATGCTCCGTGTGGGCAAGTGTGGCTGTATATTTTATGTGTCCACTCCAGATGCACAGAGGTGTCTATGTATCAAGTGTATGTGTATATTTTAAGAGGTGTTATTGAGTTCGAATTCACACGCCATTCAATCCACCCATTAAAGCATTTCAGTGGCTTTTTGTATTTTCATCTGTTTGGGCATCCATCACCACAAGCAATTTTATGGAACTTACAGAACCCCAGAAAGAAACCATGTACCTGTTTCATATTAATACATTTAGATTTACTCTGTTCTCTCCTGCTACTAAATATAGCATTTTATTAGTATGAATATACAATCATTCGTTTAACCATACATTGCTATTTGAAAGAAATGGCTGAAATGTTTTCAGCAGATTTTATTTGTTGAGAAGGTGTGTGTGGTGGGGAGAGGGGTTAAAACCAAAATGGCAGAGTTCTGGACTGTTCAGTGAGGGGGAAACATCTACTCTTCCCCAGCCCATCCTCAGTCACCTTTACCGTTTCCTTTGTGGCTCACTGTGAGTGGAGATCTTCACATTTTTCCATCATCTACCTTCAGAACAGATTTCTGCATCTTGATTCTTTCTCTTGTAACAATTCAGCTTGGTGATAGTTCCTTGTCACTCTATGACTGTTTCAGATTGACTGTTTAGATGTAATTTACCCACACCTTACCCCTTATTGTCGGACATTTCCATTTTCTGCTGCTGGAAAGCGTACTAGGGAGAAGGGCTTCTCCTGATCTTTCTCCCTATATAAGGTGCATCCCTTGGATAATTCCCAAAAGTGCAGTTGCCAAGTCAAATCCCTCAGTTGGTTTTAATGGGTATCGATCGCCAGTTGTCTTCCGGTGAAGTTGTGATGGCATCACCCAGGGAAGGTGCCATTCTCCAGGCTTGGCCAGAACCGCGTCACCCAAGAGCATCACACTGCTCTGCCCATGTGATTTACCTCCTCTCTAGCCCGGTCCCAGCCACCACTCACACGCGCTCCTGTGAGTAACAGCACTGACCACTGGCTGCCTGTCCTTTCTTGGTGACTCGAGGGGTTCTGCTTGTTAGTTGTATGATTCCTCACTCTTCTCCCAGTTGGTGGCCTTTTTACATTCTCAGTGGGGTGTATGTTCTTGGCAGAGATCTACACCTTAATATAGATTAATTTTATTTTTCTTTTGTATGATGGTCTGCGTTCTTGGTATCTATGAAGTATAGACATATACTTTCTCTTGAGAATGTGTGGCATTCAGGCCTTTAATCTGCCCAGACTTGGTTTTGGTGTAGAATATGGGAGATGTTCAGGTACAGTGTCATATTTTTCCTCCATACACATATCCAACAGTGTCCTTTCTTCCTTCACCCTCTTTCCTGCCTGCTCAGGGACATTTACACATATGTGTGGCTCCCCTCGTTTATGATCTATTGTTCCCCGGGTCATAGCTACACTCGCTATGATAGCTATTGCTCCGTAATAAGCCTTGCTTTTGGGGGTCCCATCTCCTCTTCTGTTCCTTGAGGATGTGCTGGTCTTCACTGTCTGTGTTAAACTGTAGAACAGAATCAGCACTGTCAAAGAAGTCCCTCATTTGTTTATGTCTGGCACCTCTGTCAGATTTAGGTTTTTTGGGGTTTTTTTTTTATCACATTATATGCCCATTTGGAAATATGAATCAGGAGGGGAGGCCACCTCCGCTCAGTCACCCTTGGTCCCGTGTGACGCTTCCTGGGTTCGGTGTGGGTCTAGGGCTGGCGTTAACCTCTAGACCGGCGGCCCGGCCACCACACTTGTGGCTGACGGGTCTGTGCAGCGTGGACTGTTGCTCCAACCGTATTACTTCACAATAAGTGGTCAGCACCGGTTCCTGCTATGCCAGAGACGTAGAAACCACCCCACACCTTCCTCTTCATCTCGAATACTGCTAAGTGCTGCATTTGTCTGACTCTTCCTCCGAAATTGCTTCAGGTCATTTTCCTTCTTATTGGAGACACCGCCCCTCCCTGAGCAGGGACGCTTCCTCCTCACCAGGACTGTCGTGAAGGTCTCTTTCATCCCTGCATCCAGCCTTAACTCTGCTCAGCCAGTCCCCAAAGAATACGATCTGTTAAAAGCAAAAATTAAAATACATCAACCTTGGGTTTCCAAGGAGAGGTTGGACCAGGACCCCCAACACCACCTAAATCTGTGCACATGCGAGTCCCTGATGTACAGCGGCATAAAGTGCTGTCTGTGACTTCTGCACAGCTCCTGCACCGCTGCGTGCAGTGTGTGCGCGATGAAGCAGCCACATGTGTGGCTTGGAGAATAACGACAGAAACGAAAAGCGTGCACAGAGCAGCCGTTCTGGAGCTGACCCAGTGAGCATTGCCGGTGGGTGAATTCATGGATGTGGACATGGAGCGCTCCGTAGGTTTCTTTTTAAAACTCCTTCAGTTTCCCATTTCTCTTTGGACAATATGCAAAGTCCTTCATGGCCCTGCAGTGTCTGGCTCCTCTTTGAGCTGCAGCCCCCAACCACGTGTTCAGATGGGCTGAGGGCTGAGGCTTCCGCCCTGGACCTGCCTGGGCACTTTCCTGCTCACCTCACAGTGCTTGCTCAGCCTGCTCCCCTCACCCTCTCAGCATTTTCTCAGGGAAGTGGCTTACCATTCAGACTGGCTCCGATTCCTGTTCCTTCTTTTTATTGCAGCAACTATCACAAGTATAACACATTCATTTTTATAGTATTTATTCTGT